ATGCTGATTTTGGTTCCCTGCTTAAGAAATTTAACCCAAACAATCCCTAAAAGCCATACACAGGCTGGCTGCATGTCCACCATAAGCCCTAATGGAGCACCCCCCATTCCCACCTTAGGTTTATATTTATGTGTTTCATGTAACATCATGGGTCTATAGTGTTTTGTTATTGTTCAGACATTGTGCAAATGCTAAACTTTTAGGTTAGCAGGACATTTAAGTGTTATAACTAGCCCTGCCGTCAAGTCAATTTTACTGTTGTGGTTCATATTTATTTTTGGTTTTGCATTTTTCAAACCAGTTTGATTTATGATTTTGTATGTTTCTAAATATCATGTTTTAAACACAAAAAGTAACAAAAACAAAACTGGTTTGAAAAATATTTTAACTAAAGATAAATGAAAACAACAACATTGGCTTAGTAAAACAATAAACATAAGCAGATCATGTGATATTAGATATGAGTGGATCCTGAGCGTTGCACAGGAAAGCACAAACAGTCCACATTTGGTTAACGACACTAAATAAACTCAGAGGAACAACTCCATTCCAAATTCGGAAGTTCTTTATCTTGTTGATGGCCCTTTCGACGTGTATCCGAAGACTTGCAATCTGCTGTGTCCTAACATCTTCGGCAGACATTTGAGCATCACTGCCTAAAAAGGGTGGGATATTCAGATCCACACCAAGGGGCAGGATGTCTTGTATCTGAAATCCCTTGTCTGCCATAACAGAGTCACCATCTTCAAAGGATTGGGACAAAAATCCACTCCGTAAAACAATTTTGCGGTCAGAGATGCTGCCGGTATAAAGTTGACTGCAAAATGTAATAGCTCCACTTGGTGCAATACCGACAAGTCCTTTCAATGTCACATGGTTTTTGTACGAGCTGAAAAGTTCAGAGTTCAAAAGCAAACTGCTTGGCATTTCACAAAAGACCTCTGTGCAGTCAATAATGACTTGCGTTGAGAGAAATTTTTCTTTGAAATCTGCAGGCATAGTTGCCTGAACAACTGACTTAGGAGGCCAGATGCAAACCTGGCCAAATTTCAGATACATGAAATTAATCCATGGCACAAAAAGCCTGCTTATGGTGGACTGGGCAACACCATACAAGTGAGCTAAATGGCGCTCTGAAAAGCCTCTTCTCAGGCGGCATAAGACAATAAAAAATTCTTCAACTGGTTTGAGTTTTCGTGGGCGTCCTTTCTTTGCAGGTGAAATGTTTTCTTCATCATCAGAGTCCACATCATAAAAATCCTCTGGCACATCTTTTAAGGTACTTCTTGGACGAATGTTTTCTCCATTTTTACCCAGGTTCAAAAAGTTAAATAAGGCGAGGAAAGTAGCATAATTTGGAAGGCCAGTATAAAAGTTGATGTCAGCCTCTGATGTAAAGCGTTCCAGAGAAAATAGTCGGGCCGAGATAGCCTTGTTCTGTTTCTCTACCTCGTCCAATTTCTTTTTTAGCTCAGTGTTTTCCTGTCAAAGTTTTAACACCTCCTCTTCCAATTCCTCGATCTTTTTTGGCGCATTTAACTCCGAACAAGTATCGTTTGGCTCAGTATTTCGGTTAGAGGCAGTTGCCGTCGACTCAGAAAGTGATTCCGCCGTGATATCTGTTTCGCTCACTACATGTAACTCGGTGTGATCAGAGGAAGCAGATGTTGTTGCAAATAATTTCTTCTGAGGCAGAGGATGTCTTTCTGGAGGAGCTTTTCTTTTCCTTGGAGATGGAACTGACCACGAAAATCTGGTTGGAACGCCACTGGGAACCACATAAGCCCGTCCATTGAATGATTTTCTTAAATCTTCTCGCCTAAAATGAAGGGAACAAACTTTTGTTCCATCGACGATCTTAAAATCCTTTCCTTCTTCACGGCGAATTGCATGAATCCACTGTTTTCTCCTCGTAGGAGTGCGTGGGAATTCAAAGAAAGAAACTTTCTCTCCTGTGGGCGTCTTCTTTCCTTTCTGATTGCATTCAGGGACACAACAACTCGTAACCATTTCGAAAAGCGTAGAACAGAACGACTACAAAACACTTACTCGATGGACTCGAAGGACGCGTTGTCAAAACAAACTCGAGGCCTCACTAGCCTCGCTTTCGCGCAACTAGACCCAGTCCTCCCAAGTGGTCCGCCATATTTGCATTCGGTGTATATTGCTGCAAATGGTTGGGGTCCATAACTTGATTGTTCCACTGAGTTAGTCTGTGGCCATGCCTGTCATAGACATAATCGAGAACAGTATTTGTTATCATGCTTAAGACCGGAACTGGCCTTGCAAATCTGTGCACCATATCACTGTATCGACAGGGGTAAGCCAGTCGCTTCAGTAGCATACATAGCCCTTCTATGCCATCGCAAACTGAACGCTGTGGGCACTGGAATGTTGGGGGAATCTGTAGCCTGTCTGCCAGCAAGGGAATGTGCCATTTCTTGACTCGAAACTCGGTATAACACTCAGCAGGATCCATTTCCCCCAAATCGAACGACGCGTACAAGTTGTAGGAAGGAAAATCCGGATTCTTCGACTGATAAAAGTCATAGAGAAGGCAGAATTCTTCGTCATCAAACATGTCGTGGGCATATCCAACAAAAACAAAATCCCTGATGTCTTTAAACGACGACATAACTAAAACCACCACTTGTTGAGCCTCACTTGTTGACGTCTTCGTCTTTGTACAAGACGCGGGTGCTTAACTTTCAATTTTCGCGCCGAAAACGATGTTCTCGTCCCAGTGTCCTAGAGCATGCCACGTCATAATTTTGTTCTCGTTTTCGTCCTCGACGAAGCTGCTTAAGGTCCCTTATGTCAGAGCTAGAACGCAAAGATAACAGTTAGAACAAGGTAAGGAATAAAAAACATCTGACGTCATCCACTTTAACAAGGGGCTCCCACAGGGTGACGCTCTGTGCCCGAGGCTTTTTACATTGTGTCTCAATCCTGTATCGTGGAAGTTGAAGGCCTCTGAAGGGTACAAACCATCGAAGCCCGTAAACAGGAAAATCACCCATCTTTTGTATATCGATGATATGAAGATCTACGTGACATCGGAGAGCAAACTCGACAGAGTCCTTAAGACAACCAAGGTAGCTATGGCAGATATAGGGTTGGACTTTAATGAGAAGAAGTGCGCTATTGCCCATGTAAAGAGAGGAGTCCTGGATAGCCGCCCTTACAGCAAGCATGTCGGAGAGTCTCAGATCATAGAAAGTTTAAAGGAAGGAGAGAACTACAAATTCTGAGGAGTTCTTAAAAATTCCAAGCAGGAGGACACCTTGGTCCTATGGAGCGTGTCAAAACTTTTCCTTCAAAGACTCTCTGTAGTCTGGTCGAGCCCGTTGTCGGATTACCATAAAGTTGTAGCATCAAACCAGTACACACTAGCAGTACTAATGTACCCCATGTGGACTCAGAGCTGACCCATTGTGGAGCTTCAGCAATTAGACTGCGAGAGCTGTAAGATCCTGAAAGAGAACGGCGGCTATCACCCCATGGGAACAACGGATTTACTTTACCTACCCAGAAAGTTCGGAGGAAGAGGTCTCAAGTCAGTAGAGTCAACGTACAAAAATAGAGAGTTTAAGATACCTGGACGGCTGACCTCGAAGACGGCTGACCGGAAGTAAATTTCGCGTGTAGACCACAATGCGCATGCCTGGTCCACACGGATTGCAGTCCTCTTTGTGTTGAGGACGTGAGAAGTGGTGTTTTGCCGTTCACCAGTCAACGTGAGTACTGTTACTATTATTTCCCCATAAACTTCCGCATGTTTTTAGATTTTCGAACTTCATTAGGTGAACATTGTTTGTCACTTTTTTGTTTTGGGTAATAAAACCACTGACAAGCTGGTTAAAATTGTAAAAGTGATGTGCACTGTGCACAGCCACGGTGGAGCATTTCAACTGAACACGTGCGTTAAATTTTCTTGCTTTACTAAAAAAAAGTCCCTAGCACTTGAACCCGCTTATCCTCTGAATGAAAGATGTCTTATCTTGTATTAAACTTTAATCTACACAGTCCAAATGCTTTTCCCTTGGTCAGTTAGGAGCGAGAAATCAGAGAAATTGTTTTATCTGCCTTCTCTTTATTTACAGGATTAGCGAGCATGGAATGGAAGGAAGAGCACGATCTCCTTCTCTACCGGGAAATACTCGTCTATCAGCCATACAAATTCAAAGAAAGAACGGTCGAAAGAGGCAAAATTTGGGAAGAAATTTCGAATCACCTCAATACCTGTGAGACCGCCAAATTCCGTGTAAACAAGCGATCTGTAAGAGAGCAATTCAAATTGATCAAGGAAAAGTTTAAGCGTAAAATTCGAGAGGAGGAAAATTTGTTGGGGATTGACGTGGAACCCACTTCAGAGCTCAAACAAGCCCTAGAAGAGATTTGCTCTTTTGAAGAATCTTTCCCGGTTGAAGAGAAAGAATCCAAGCAAGCCAAAGAAGAAGAAAACAAGCACAAAGCACAAGAAATTCGAAAAAAAGCGATGGAGAGCTATGGTCAGACCAAATCAAGAATTGTTGGAGATGAAGCTCCCATGGAACCTAAGGAGAAAAAGAGAAGAGGAGGCAATGATTCCATTGACTTTCTCAGAGAAAAATCTCAGCTAGAGCTTGAAATCAGGAAGAGAGAGTTAGAGCTTAAAGAAAAGGAGACAGCGCCATTGTTTGAGCAGCAAAAGATGATGCAATTGATGCAGCAGCAACAACAAAACATGGTGGAGCTACTGTCGAAACTGGTGAACAAGTGACTTTACAGTTAGAGCACAATGCAACATTAGATGAGAGATCTGGACACTAGTTATGATTTGCCCGATGGGTGCCTGGCGCGAGCCACTTGTAACAAGCTGTACTTTGCATATGTTTCTATCATTCTCTTACGAGGATGCTCGCCTTTCTAGGATAAATCTCTCGATGAAATAGACAAAGTCTTATCTATGATAGAAACATACTTCAACACGGATTGATCTGGCGAACGAGACACCGGTTGCAAGCGGACTACCCAGTAATACGTCGAACAGAGGAGAACGCGGCCATCGATTGCCGATCGACCGCCATCTTTGTTTCCTTCCCGGACTACAATAGTACGCAATGTCGAAGAAATACAAATGCCCATTCCCCGAATGCACCTACGAGACAGAGGAAGTTACAGACGCGCTCGCGGCCGTCCTTCTATCAGTGCACTCTTCGGGGGTACATGTCACTCCAGGAACAGCGAACACGATCAACCCCAACAGTAACACGAAACTCGAAAAAGTACGCCGTCCGACAATTTCGGCAGCGGGATCGAGTGAGGATTGGTCGTATTTTCTAACGCGTTGGGGCGATTATGTTGCGGCAACTAATGTCACCGGCAAAGAAAAGGTAATCCAGCTCCTCGAGTGCTGCGATGAACAACTTCGCAAAGACCTGACAAGAAACGCGGGCGGTTCCCTCACCGACAAAACCGCAGATGAGGTCATGGCAGCCATAAAAAAGCTTGCAGTACGGGAGGAGAACGCAATGGTCGCCCGTGTGCAGCTACACAACATGCGGCAAGACCGGGATGAGACGATCCGTAGTTTCGGTGCCCGCCTTCGCGGCCAAGCTGGTGTTTGCAAGTTTTTAGTCACTTGCCCTAGCTGCAACATAGAGGTCAACTATACGGAAAACGTCCTTCGCGATGTCCTCACACGTGGCCTGGCTGACAGCGAAATCCAATTAGACCTGTTGGGGGAACGAAACCAAGACATGAGCCTTGAGGAGGTGTTCCAATTCATTGAGGCAAAAGAGGCCGGCAAACGGTCAGCAGGCCGCCTGTCACAAAGCCACAGCACAGACGCCGCACAAAGTCAGTATCGTCGTGCCAAAAATGATGAGGTCAAGCAACGTAAGGATGGGGACGCGAACGAACTGTGCTCTTATTGCAACAAGAGAGGGCATGGCAAGAGCGCGCCGACCAGAATCCGCCGATGGTGCCATAAGACTGCCCAGCTTATGGCACCATCTGCGACAAGTGTGGACGGCAGAACCACTTTGCCAGCGTTTGCCGCAGCAGGGGCAAAAGCAACAGGCCCCAACAGCCGCCGACACCCATTGGCAAGAGCAGAGAAACGGAAAGTGCAATTTTTGACTCACTTTGCACCACAACTAGCCTCAGCAGGCCAAGCAAAGGGGTCATCTCACTCGACCACCACCTCTACTGCCACCTAACCGATCACTGGGTTCGACAGCCATCCAAGCCTCAACCGTTCATAACGCTTACAGCGACAGCCCATCCTGAAGACTACACAGCCCTTGGATACAACCCACCCAAATCACAGTTGGCAACAGCACAACTCTCTGCTATGGCTGACACAGGCTGCCAGAGCTGCTTGGCTAGCATAAAAGTCATCCGTCGCCTGGGCCTCTGTGAGAGTGACCTGATACCCGTCACTATGAAAATGCACGCTGTGAACAACAAAGGGATCAGCATCCTGGGCGCAGTCATCTTAAGGTTCTCGGGCAGGTCTCCATCCGGAAAAGCCCTGGAAAGCCGACAGATTGTATACGTGACAAGCGACTCAGACAAACTTTTCCTCAGCCGAGAGACATGCATGGCACTGGGCATTATCACTAAGAACTTCCCCATGTTGGGGGAGACCCTAAACACATGCAGCTCAATCGAGCCAGACACAGCCTGCAATGCAACTGCACCAACCCCGTCAGACAGAGATATGCAAACTTCTGAGGGCTCAGACAGCCCTCCATGCACCTGCCCGTGTCGCACCACACCACCACACCGAACCACAACCGGGCACTTGCTCCATCACCATTGACGACCAGCTAGCCTCATCAGCCTCATCGGCATTAAACACTATTGCCGTCACATGGGATAGGGTCAAGCTGGCCACAACAAGCAGCAGGGCAATGACCCAGCTAATTCATCTTATCGAGACTGGATTCCCTAAATCCCGTAACGAGCTACCACCTGCCCTTCGGGAGTACCATCAATTTCGCGAACACCTCTATACAGTTGATGGCATCATCCTCTACAAGAATCGCATCGTGATACCACCCTCTCTCCGCCAGCATATTCTGACTGTCTTGCACTCAGCCCACCAAGGTGTGACTTCCATGACAGCACGCGCCGAAAGCACAGTGTTCTGGCCAGGCATCACCCCAGCCATCATTGCCCTACGGGAAACCTGCAACCACTGCAACCGCATGGCACCCTCTCAACCGAGTTCACCGCCCTCTCCAGTTGTACCCCCAGCCTACCCGTTCCAATGTGTTTGCGCCGACTTCTTTCACTTCAAAGGGGTTACCTACCTTGTTATCGTAGACCGCTACTCCAACTGGCCCCTCGTTGAGCGAGCAAGAGAGGGATCTACAGGCCTGATTGACTGTCTACGACGAACCTTTGCCACATTCGGCATCCCAGACGAACTCGCAACAGATGGCGGCCCTGAATTCACAGCAACAGCCACACGCCAATTCCTGAAAGACTGGGGCATACACCACCGTCTGTCGTCAGTGGCATTCCCACACTCAAATTGCAGGGCAGAGATTGGCGTCAAATCAGTCAAACGGTTCATCACTGACAACACCACCCCATCTGGTAGCCTAGATACTGACTCCTTCCAGCGTGCAGTCCTTCAATATCGAAACACACCTGACCCGAATACTCAGCTATCCCCTGCACAATGTGTCTTCGGCAGGCCAATCAAGGACTTCATACCTATCTTACCTGGTCGCTACCAACCACACCCTACCTGGCGTGACACCCTCGCGACAAGAGAAGCAGCACTAAGAAACCGCCACATGAAAGCTGCAGAGAGATGGTCTGAGCACACCAAGCGACTCCCACCCCTGGCCGTTGGTAACCATGTCCGCATCCAGAACCAAACAGGCCCCTACCCCACTAAGTGGGATAAGACAGGAGTCGTGGTCGAGGTTCGCCAATTCGACCAGTATGTCATCCGCATCGACGGCTCAGGGAGGATGACTACCCGCAACTGCAAGTTCTTAAGGAAATACCTCCCGGTACGGACCACACCGCCCCACCTAACAATTGATGACGACCTGCGTCATCTTGCTATGCTGCCACACAGACCGCCCAAGCCAATCGCCCCCACCCCAGCACAAGCAAGGATGCCCCCACAACCATCCCCCGCACAGCCACTAACTGGGCCAACCCCGGCAGCAGTGACACCTGACCACCACAGCCCCAGCCCAAAGCCAAATGCACCACAGATACAACTTAGCAACCAAACACCTTCCCCATCTCCTGAGCATCCCTCGACAGCAACTCCACGAACGCACGCGTCCAGCCCCCAAGCAGATCCACTGGCGCCGCCAAGCCCGCCGAAACCCCAGAACGACCAAAGAAACCTCCCTTAGCCCTGCGTCGGCTACGGGACTTTAACTCCAAAGGACTATTGGAACAGTGACTTAGTCATTAGATCCATGAGACAGTCAAATGACACTATTCCATATTTAGTTTTGTTCTTTAATTCAAATTAACATTTGTGTTCTTATCAGTCTTCACTATCCCCCATATGCAAGCATGAGGAACACTAAAGACTTGGGGAGAGATAGAGCACAACACAACATTAGATGAGAGATCTGGACACTAGTTATGATTTGCCCGATGGGTGCCTGGCGCGAGCCACTTGTAACAAGCTGTACTTTGCATATGTTTCTATCATTCTCTTACGAGGATGCTCGCCTTTCTAGGATAAATCTCTCGATGAAATAGACAAAGTCTTATCTAACAGTGGCTGTAATTGTCTTTCAAAGTAGCTCGGTACAGCTATGTTAATTTGTGTTTATCTATTAAAATTGGTAAACACTGAGGTCGGACTACTGAGCCTTTCTACTTTAACAGTGAGTGTAATTACAGCCTTTATCTTGTTATCTCAGCAGCTTTGTTTATTCTATTAAGATTATGCTTGAATAATATTTGACTGTTAATAAAGTGTTTGATTCCTTTATCTTCGCAAGAAATCGATGAATTATCGAAACGTTGTTTAACTACCTTTAACTGATTTCAGAGCTCAATTTTTGGTCAGCAGTTTGTGGAAAGATGACTTAAAATTGTTCAAGAGAAGTATTCCTCCAGTGTAGGAGGATCCAGCTCGAAAAAACTTGAAGTTGAATTTCCGTAAAGGCAAGTTAACGCATTTCTTAACAGGGCACACACGACATACAATTTTCCGATCGAGCTTAGACCTATTTTAAGGTTTTTTTTAAAGTCCATAAACTTGAAATACTCCACAATGTCTCCAAACAACCACTTGACAGACGTACGCACATTCGACATAGAGTCATTGAAGGCTTCCATTTGCGCTGTCAGGGCGGCCCCTCTGAACGGTGCCATGAGATTTACCCTTAAAGGATAGGCGAGGTCTCCGTATATGCACATCTGTTGGCCAGTTGGGGATACAGCATTGTGCTCCAAAACAGAAAAGAGAAATAAGAAAAGAAAAATAAGAAAAGAGAAATTAGAAAAAGAAAATTAGAGTCGGCCAACGTGGCAGCATCATGCTTCTTTCCCTCTGAAAAACCAATTGTTCAACTGATAAATTTTTCTAAGCCAAAACTGGTGAGTTAAAACCTAAAACAAAAGAGACTGTAGGAATAACTAGACTTACCTAAAGGACCGAACAAATGTCCAATAAGCCCATTAGGAAGAGCACTTGCCCGTTATAAACAAGCCGTTGGTGTTCCCCCAGCCTGCAAATCGGGCGAACAGTTCCATCCACAAACCAAAAACAGTTGTTAAGGGCAG